CTGAGATATGTCAGTCTGTTCCATGCCTCCATGTCTCTGGACCTGTCTTGTTTGTCAGTTTATTATGTTCATTAGATTTCACTTATAGGTGAGTTCATGTGATATTTGTCTCTGACTGGCTTATTTCACTCAGCATAATATTCTCCAGGTCCATCCATGCTGTAGCAAAGGGTAAGAGATCCTTCTTTTTTATAGCTGCATAGTATGCCATTGTGTAAATGTACCACATATTATAAAAAAGCTGTCCATTAATTTTTAAAAAATATTTTGTTGATTTCAAAGAGAGGAAGGGAGAGGGAGAAAGATAGAAACATCAATGACGGGAGAGTTGTTATTGATCGGCTGCCTCCTGCACGCTCCCAACCGAGCCCGCAACCCAGGCATGTGCCCTGCCCAGACTTGAACTGCGATCTCCTGGATCCTAGGTCAATGCTCAACCACTAAGCCACACCAGCCTGGCTGTCCATTAATTTTTAATAATTTTCTCCCCTCCATTTTCATTTTTCTCTTGTGAGAACTCCAGTCATTAAGATTTTGGATATCTTGAATTTCTTTTTTTTTTTCTCTCCCCAATTTCCTTTTTGTCACTATGATGTACTTACTAAGGGATCTCCTCAACTTTATATTCCACCCCTTCTATAGCATGTTGACTGCTATCATATTTTTTATTCCAAGAGCACATTTTTTAGTCTGAATTTTCTTTTTTTTCTTTTTTTTGTAGTCTTCTGTTATTTTTCCATGGATGCAGTATATCCTCTTATCTCACATGTTTTTCTCTGGTACCCAAATTGTCTTTGTATCTCTAATTCCTCCTTTTTTTTCTGTTGTTGTTTTGGCTTCTGTCCTTAATGCTGGAAGCTTTTGGGAGTGGACCTTGTTGATTGGTAGGTTTCACTGCATGAGTCATCTCCTAGTCCTCATTTTCATTGGGTAATCACCAGAAACTGGAATTTGGAGACCTTTCTGGAACCATTTAGAGTATTGAAATAAGAATCCTATCTTTTCCTGCTGAATAGGATAGAGTGGGGAGTGAAAAAGGCGGAGAATTTAAGAATGGCCACTGGTGTTTTGGAAATAAGAAAGGGGAAGGAAGGGGGCTGAGAGGACCAAGTTTAATGTTCAGTGCTTCCCTCTGCCCTCCATTATGCTTCATCTCCCCAAGACTGAAGCTTCTTTAGTTGAATTTCTCTGGAGAACAAACTTCACTTTCCTGTAGAGTACCATGTAGAAGAAAAGATACTTGGTCTCCAGCTGCTCTTGCTTTATTTAGGTTTTCAAACAGTCCTTGTTTTCAGTCCCATACCTTATCCCTGCCTTCATTGCTAAACCCTGCAATTGCTAAGCCTCTCAAGAGTTCTGTGGGCCACATTGACTAATCTCTAAGTGCCCCCTTCCTCTACCATGGAGTTCAGCTTCACTTCCTCAGCTCTGCCAAGTCAGATACCAATCCTTGGTCTGCTTTCCATCTTGTAAAGATTTTGCAATCTCTTGTCCATTGTTGTCCGTTTCTCATCTATCTTTGTCATTGTATGATATTACCTATTTTCACTTCTTTAATATCATTTTGGTGAGATTTTTGTGGGAAAGAGAGATAAATGTGATCGATCCATCATGATTTACTGCAACTTTATTATCTTTCCAAGAGCGAAGAATTCTTCCAAGAAGCATTGGCTAGTTTTATCCCCTTAATTGAAATGTTTTTTTCTTTCTTGCTCCTTTTGGGGGATTTCCATATTCCCCAAATATCCTTTGAAGTGGGTAAATGATTAGATGTGTTGAGTTTGACATATCATAATTTGGGCCGGGAAGGTGGCTAGTGGTAACAGGTAAGCATCAATAAATAGACTTATTAGTAATAAGGTCTGACACTAGGACCTTCCAATGGTGACTTTCAGAAATTTTTCTGTAAGTTCCAATGCCATCATCCAGGCCAAATGCATATTCAGGCACAGGGACTGAGTTAGATAAGGACCCCAGGACGGCCTTTCTGAGGAAGCAAAATTTTATTTGAGACTTTCCAGATAAAGGGACCAGAAGGTGTCAGTGCCTTACATTTCTGGGAACAATTTTAGTATGCTTCGAGAACAAGAAGGCTAGAATATGTGGAACATTGTGAACAGGGAGATAGTTTTCAGATAAGATCAGAAGGGTCAGCAGTGGCCAGATTACGTAGGATCTTATAAACCCTGTTAAAGAGTTCAGTTTGGGTTCTAAGTGGATTGGGAAGCCAATGGGGAGGCACAAGCAAGTAAGTCATTGATGAGTGACCTATGTTTTAGAGAGATCATTCTGATGGAAGATGGCCTGCAGCAAGGTAAGAATAGAAGCATAAATACCAAGATAAGAAGTTATTGCTTTAGTCCAGGTGAGAGATGATGGTGGCTTGGAATTAGTGAATAGTAGAGCAAATGGAGAAAAAGAGATTTGTGGTAGGCTATGGTAATAGAACCCACATCGCTGGTTAGTGGACTGTATATGAAGGGTGAAGTTTGGTGTGATCCTACATCTGTATGATAGCCTTTTGACTGGTTCCCAAATTACAAGGATATTACATTTCTGAAACCTCTAGGATTAAATAAGTGCCTCCTGTAACTGATGTAATAGGAATTTGCTGGCAATTAAATTCTGTATAGTAGGAACAGATAGAGAAGCTTATTGTATTGGTGATATCCTGTCTCCCAGTGACTCCCACATTTTTATATTCAACTTGAATCTCTTCCCTCAACTTCAGACTCATATACCCAACTGCTCACTTCCCATCAAAATGTAACGTATCTGAAAACAAACTCCTAAGCTTTTCTCCCAATCTGTAGCCCTTGCATTCTTTTCCAACCTGTTAGGGCATCTCTGTTTTTTCAGTTCTTCGGGTAAAATCCTTGGCGTTGTCCTGAATCTATTCCTTCCTTCTGTCTTACAAACTATGTGAAATCTTTCAGGAAGTCCTATACTCAAAATATATTCAGAATTAACCATTCCCCACTGCCGTCCACTGCCACCAGCATCATTTAAGCTGCCATTATCTCTCATTTGGATTACTGCAAAAGAATGTTAACTGCCATTGCCACTTTGGCCTTGCTCCTACATTCTGTTTTCAATATATCATCCAGAGTGATCTTTAGAAAATATAACTTAGATCCCATTACAGAAAATATAACTTAGATTCCATTACAGTGCTGTACAATGTGCTCCAGTGCTGTACAATGTGCTCCCATGGCTTAGTTTTCCTCAGTATGAAAGTCAAAGGCCCTTCAGTGATCTCATTTTCTGACCTCAGCCCCTACTCAGGGTATTAGGGAATACGTTTCTTCAAAGGCTCCATGCTAAAGGAAAGTTTCTTACAAAACATCTTTAATTGATTCAATTTCAGTTCTTCTCCCAACACACACACTCAAAATAAAAGACATACTGATCCTTCATTTTGGCTACAAATATTTCCATAAACAGAGCATGTTCTTTCAAGGAGTTCAAATGATGAATGAGCCAAAATTCACAGGATAGGCAGTGGTAGGGGCAGCATATTGGAGTTGTATCCCAGAATCTTTGGCCAAAGAAAATGTACACAAAAGTATTACCCAATTTCTTTTCCCCTCTTCTGATCATTCTGTTTATTCTGCTTTGTTTAGATTGATGAGCCTATATGACATCTTATAACTTTTAATTTGTTGCTGCTAACTTTTTTTACTTTATAAATATGAGCTATTATTTTCTTAATATTTTGAGAAAAAAGACAAGTCTTTTGACTGAGTATGAGTACATTGTTTTCCTACTGTTATCATCACTGAGTTTTCTTATAATTACCCTTTGTTCACCTTTTCAGTAATAACTCGTATACCTCACTTGCTGATTGTAGGGATGTGGTGAGTTGGAGGTTCTGAGAAGGGCTGAAGCCCGGGGCAGGGTGCATGGATCAATGCCTTAAGTGACTATGTTTGTCTTTTCCTTCAAAAAATGCTTTTACATGAGCAGTATATAGTTAGCGATAAAAATTGGTAGAACGTGGTCAAATTTGGAATAAGTGGTATTGCACAAAGAAGTATTTTGTTTGATTTTAGGTCATCATAGCAATTGTGTTGACATTACTGGGTCTTAATGGCCCAAACTCTGTTATGGTTAAAGATGAATTTATGTCAATGTCCATAATTAGGAAATAGTAATCAAATAGTTTCACTATTTTTGACCTATAGTTTTATGGTGCAGGATAATCATTTTTAAGTGAAAATTGGCTTAATTTTTTCTGATTATAAATTTAAAACCATTCAGATGATACCGGATATTCTAAAGAAAAAACAAAAATTATAATGTCTCCTCTCAGAGATAGCTATTCTTAATACTTCAGTGTAGTGTTACTAGACTTTTCTCTATGCCTTTTTATATAAATATAAACCTAAAGTGAGATCATAATTCTACATGCTATTTTGTAACCTCATTTCTACTCAACAATATATCATGAACATATTTTCATGATAGAATATATAGATCTAAATAACCCTTTTTAATGGCTACATAATAAATGATAAAGACACCTTTTAATTTTCCTAAAAATATACTAGACAAAATGAATCTAGGCTTGCCTTAAAGATTTAAAAAGCATATAATTTAAGAAATGTAAGGACATTTTATTATACTGATATTATAGTATCAACCATTTAAAACTAAAAAGACCTTCAAATATTCTTTAAAAAATATAACAATGGTCTTAGTTCCTGAATAAACTAATTTGTTTCTGTGGCAACTGCAACAAATATTTATTGAACACCTACTAAGTGCCAGCATTGATCTAGGTACTGGGGATACTTTCGCAAATTAGATGTGTGAGATCTCTGCTTGCAAAGAGTTTATATTCTGAAGGGTTGAAAACAGATAATAAACTAATAATAAATAAGGAAAATATCAGATATTGAAGCATTCCTGATACTGTTTTCATGGTAGCATTTAAACTGACATTTTGGTTCCGAATTCTGCCGATTGAATCAAATTATATACTATAATTATATTTTCAGGTTTGAAGACAGTGAAGAACAAATCAATTATGAGTCATTTTTCTCTGCCCTGAACTGGAGAATAAATCGGATGCCTGAATTAATAGCAATATCGCCCTTGAAAGAGGTAAAATTAATATCTATTTTAAAAACCAGCTTAGTACCTCACTTGCATTTTTAATACCCTTTATCTTAAATTTATTTTTCCATGTAAAATATTAACATCAATGCTTTTGCAAAGAGCGCATATATATTTCTGGGTATTTGTGTTAAAGGCTAATTCACTTTCCATGCTGAGTGAACATCTGTTCTATAAGAGCATGACTTTTCTTATGCAGCTGAATTTTTTTAACCTTAATCACATCCAATTACATGGAAGATAGGATAATAGGTTATAGTTATAAATAGATATAAACACTGTTATCAAGGGATTCTGGTAACATAATCATGAGCCACAAGAGCAAATCTCAAATGGTGAATATGTCAGGATACCCCAGTTTATCTATGACTGTGCACACAGGCTTGCCTTGGGTCAAAACCATACAGTTACAGGGATGCACATTTCACAGCGGAGCCAAATTTAAAATAAAAATTTAGTAGAAAAATGCTTGGCTGGGGATAACAAAGTTCATGTGATCAGATGGTGCTCTCAACATTGTGGAATTGTCTGAATTCTCTAAGATCTCTTTGGACCAATTGTCTTTAAGGAGTGGGTGGGTGGGTGGTGGTTTGTTTATATTTTACCATGCTCCAGAAATTGATTTTCTTGGGAAAGTCCCTTGATAAAGCTAATGTCATATGTTTGATACTCTCAGAAAAGAGGCATTTAGTCCTCCCGGTCTCTGCTGACCAGCTCATTCTGGCCTGAACTGGTCTAGTGCCCCTGGGGAGATCCCTCAGACATGCAGCTATTCTGGAGTGTCAGGCAGCCTTAGAACTTCCAGATGATTGGGAGACAGTGGTGGCCTTTGGAGTCAAACAGAACTGGGGTTGAATTCTGGCTCAGTCACTTTCTTAACTTGTTCATTTATAAATTTTATTTGCAGAAAAATCATGATTAAGTATCCACTTTCAGGAGGTTCTGTGCTCTGTGCTGGGGTCCAGAGAAAAAGGTCAGGGGCCCACTGTTGATGGGGGAGTCTCAGCGCTCATGACTTGGAGTATGGCCTGATACAGCCGGCATGGGATGTAATGGGATGAGGAGGAAGCTGCTTATAAGTAAATCAGACTGGGGTGGGGGAAGGGACAGGAAGTCTTCTCAGCAGAGGTAATGCTTGAAATTTCAATGATGAGTACTAAGAGTTAGCAAGGTAGGAAAGTGGCATGATATGGGAAAGCATTCCCAACAGAGGCTCTGGGACATGGGACAACATGGTACTTGTGCAGAACCAGAAGGAATCGGTGTGGCTGGAATGAAAGCACAAAGGAAAGAGTGGAAAAGGATGAGGCTGGAGATACCTGCAAGGGTGAGTTTTGAATATTGTTCTGCAAGATCTGGAGATCATGGCCAATTCCAAGGAAGAAAGTGACATGATTAGGTGTACCCTTTAAAGGGAGCTTGCTGTGGCTGGATGGTGGATAGATTGGAGAGGGAGCATGGAGATCCATTAGGAGGCTCATGATGCCCCGTCATCACCATAATAACAGCAAACACTTACAGCATTTACTGTGTGCTAAGCACTGTTCTAAGACCTCCAAATCTATTAGCTCATTTAATCCTCATAGCAACCCTATGAGGTAGGTACTTTTATCATTTCCATTTTAGAGAAGAGGAAGTTAGAAATAGCAAGGGTCTGGTAGAGTCAGAAGTTTAACTCAGATATGTTAACTGGAAAGAGTAAAAAAGAAAAAATCTTTTAAATATAATTATTATCAAAGATACTGGATTTAATTAACTAAAATCCAAGATATTATCACAAAAAAATTGATACTGTCATTTGGTAACCTTTTCTTATCTATGTAAATATTTAGTTTTTACATAAAAAATGATAGATGGAGTTTATATTCTACCTTTTCATTTAATGTTATGGTGTTCTGTGTTGGATATCATCCATTTGTCCCCTTAGTACTTTTCTCCAGCCCCCTCTACCCTTGTTCTGAATCTCAGGCAGCTGACCTTTGTGACCTGCATCATTGAGGCTTGAGCCCTCTGGCCTCCAGTTGGGTTAGCCAGTGGAATGCAACAACAGGAAAGTAGAAGGTGGGTGGAGAGAGAAATCATCTCCCTCCTTGTCAGTCACAATAGATTGATTGCTTCCCCCAGCCAAGGTCCACAGAGCCTGTCTGGAGGCTCTGTCTGGAGGTGCTGCCCACTCCAGATTCTGATAACCATCCTCACATGCCCCTTCAGTCCCAGGTGGTGGTAATGGCACCCTGCTGCTACAATCCTGGAGGGACTGGAAAATCCCCTGTTGGTTTCCCTAAACACTTCGAACAACTTTGTAGATATTCATTTTATTAAACTTTTCTCAACTTACACAGTTTGTATATGTCCTCTGTTTCCCAAGGGATCCTGAATGATACACGTACTTATTTTTGCTAGTTAGCAACTGCCTTTGTTATTCTTTTCCTTACTTTGTACTTCTCTCCTTTTCCTTTCCACCCAATCCACCACCCAAATGTTTGTCTACATGTTGGGTGTTTCATCATCTATTGTACAAAAATATAATCGTACCACATGCATTTATCTGCAGTGTGTTTTTCTTATTGAATCGTAAATCATGGGAAATTGCTCTAGTTTAACATGTATACACCTCAGCCATTTTTCAGTAAATGTAGTACAGATATAGAATAATTTATTCACCCATTTCTATTTGATAGGCATTCAAGTTTTTTTACATTTTTAAAATATTTTATTTTACTGATTTCAGAGAGAAGGGAAAGAGGGAGAGAGAGATAAAAACATCAGTGATGAGAGAGAACCATCTATCAGCTGCTCCCTGCATGCCCCCTACTGGGGGTCCTGCCTGCAACCCAGGCACGTGCCCTGACCGGGAATTGAGCTATGAGCCACACTGGCTGGGCTGTTTTTGCATTTTTGTCCCTGAAAAGATGTAGTGTCTTGTTACTTGAATTTTGATTTTCCTGATGATTATTGATTTCGAATGAAATTTAATTATCTTTTGGTACTACAACCCACAGTAAGAAAGACATTTTTTTGTATCAACCCAGCAGGCACATATACAATGGAGCAAAAGTTACATGAACCAATACTGTTCTAACTATATGTGGTGCAGTATGATATTTCCTTTCTCTCATCCTTCCATTCTCTCTTCCTTTCTTTTCTTTTCTCTCCTCTCTTCCCTTTCTTTCTCTTTTTTGAATATAGTGTGTGACCCATTAAATTGTTTTAAGGACCCACAAAATGATCTCTTCTACTCATACTGGAAGAGGAATCACTGTGTAGGAAGCTCAGAGGTCCTCTCTCCCTTTAACCACCCCTCCCCCATTTCATCCCTTACTCTGTCAACTAGGACAGTTAATGAACCTTGGAGCTCAGGTGCTTTAGGGAAGCAGGTAGAGCAGAAAGTCTGGAATGTGAACTGGAGTTCAAATCCTTAGCTCAGTGATTGACTAACTGGGTGCACTGGGTGCAAATTATTCAACCTTTCAGGTTTTCCCGTCTCAAAAATGGAGATAAGAATAATTCCTTCCTCAGGGTGGTTGTGGGGATCGAGTCTACACATGTGAGATACTTATCACAATATCTGTCCCATACTAAGGGCTTAAATGTTAGCTATTATTATTTTTTTTTGTAAAATGGAGATTACTTACTTCCTCAAGTCAAGCGGCTTGGCCTTGAGCATTCAGCCTCCAAGGCTAAGATCAGTGATTGTATCCTTAAAGGTTAAGAGTTAGAACAGTAACAGAACAGGAACGTTGTATCCAAAAGGGCCTGTGTTTCAGCAGTAGGTTTTTCCAGTTGTTACTCATTTGTGGCGATAAGAACTTTGCTCTTAGGGTCTTTTACCAATTTTGCTCACCAACCCAAAATAGTTGAGTCTGAGGAAGACATCTGGAAGGGACATTTCTTTTCAGCCAGTTAAAGAAAGAAAGAACATAGGTATAAAATAGTACCTGATCAATTTAACAAATAATGAGGACTTAACTATATTCCAGAGTCTGGAGCACTCTGGTACTCCTAATTTTTCTACTATTTCATAAAGAGAATATAAGATAGCTTGGGAATGTTACCAGTGAGTCTATAAGCCCATGTGAAAATATTTAGTCTGAATAGGTTGAGCATAATATTGCATAGTTCATACAGTAGAATAAGTAGTGAAGAGTATAGTATCTCCTGAACCATATAAGTGCTTCAGTGTTATTATCTAAGTCCTTGAAATACTCTGGGTCAGAACCTGTCACAGGTTGGGTTCTCCGGGAAGCAAATGGAGTCTAATGTGCAGGAATTTTATTTGGGATGTCCCTGGGATCCATACCTGTGGAAGGGAAAGGAAGGACACAGGATTGGGCAGAAGGAGAAGTTGAGATGTTGTGCAGGCCCAAAGACAGCTTTGGCCAGCCCACCGGGAACTCTGGAACTAGAATGACTTCAGAGTTGTCCTGAGTTGAGCCATAATGGCCTGGTCTTTATCCCTGAGTTGGTTTAGGAAGAGGTATGACCTTCGACAATATAGCTCTTTGTAGCGAGACTGCTCTGTAGCTGAGACAGTCCCTGAAGGGGACTTCTAGCAGCTAAGCCATAAGTTTTTCCTCAAGGGGATTCTGGATGGTACATCACAGCTTGGCAACCAAGCACTCTTGAAGCCCTTTTTGATTATTCTTGGTATCAACTTGGCTCCCTCCCAGCAGTGTGGCACAATCTCATTCCCACCCCTGCTCCTAGGTTATCATCTAATCTTACACTGTGGCAGGAAACTAACAGGGGAGTGGTTATGCCAGAAGAGGCCATGGAAGAGTTAGACCAGATACGTAGATCTGTGGAACCCAGTTGGGTGGAGAAAACCTGTCACTTAGAACTTTGGGGATTGCCAACATTTGGAGAGACTGCCATAGCAAAAAAGTAACACGTGGGACTTTAGGACAAGATCTACAAGGTCGAGAAAATCACCCAGCCCTGAGCATGATGTGACAAGATTCAAGTTCTGTTGAGAACAAGGAATGGCA